TTCTAAGTGCTCGGACACGAGGAACAATCCGACAGGGAATTCTAAGTGCTCGGACACGAGGAACAATCCAACATGGAATTCAGTAATCCAAGGGTTGGAGGGAAAATGAGCTAATATTACAGAATAAACTGGACTCTAATATTTGTAAATATATTTTACATAAAATGAAATGATGAATGGTTTTATTGTAGAGTGTAACAACCCCCCCCCTTCCTAAGAAATTCTAAATTTTGCGGAATAACTTTTATTTATTTATTATTACTAGAATCAATTATAGCATTTGCTAAATTTTTCAAAATACATTCGCACTCAATATTTGTCTTGAAGAACGGTATACGTGTTCGCAAGTGTCAAACCCTAAGTTGACAAAACTTTGTGTGTGTGTGTGTGGCAAAAACGTTGTACATAGACAATGCGCAGTAATCAGAAGTCCGAGAGAATCTGGAGATTGTGTGACACCAAAATCTTTACACTAGACAGACTTTTTGTTATCCAAGTTTTGTTAAAAGTTCATGAATCTACATCGTATTGGTTATCATTCATTGTTACGACACTTACTGTTAGAAATCGCGATCTTGATAGATTTGAAAGCATTTTTTTTCTTTCGATTCTTAACTCTTCTTATTCGATTGGTCGATCTTGTAGTCGCGGAATCGCTATTTGTCGTGAATATACAGTAAGGTTTCATCGAAATAATTAATAACTTTGGACAAAGATCACAATGAAACGCGAGAATACAGCTTCAAGTAAATGGTGAGTAAATCCAATGTATTCGTATACACGTGGCAAGAAAGTGCAGCCTAATGATCTGAGGCAACGTTGAGTAAGTGGATCTATCAACGCGGACCTTGGAGAAGCCTGATAAGTATCAGTTATTAAACTATCAGTATGCTGCTTGAATAGGAGGCAGTTTTGTCCTTATAATAAAGACACCAATGAAGGATTACGATGTCCATTTGACTTATATCAAGGACCTAATTGTTTAAAAATCAAATTATAGGTAATGTGTTGAGATCGGTATCTAGCTAGCAGGACAGGGACAAATAACAGTAGAGGTGTGAGAGACAACTTCTCTAGCTGCCTGGTTACGAAATGAACCTTGACCTAACTGCTAGAAGGTTCATTTCTTTATGTTTTATCTTTAATAACTTGACACGCGTGCGTCAGGTGTTCCTATTCTGTGTGCAGTAGAATGCATATCATCGCCTTCACTTAACAGATAGTGCCTTTAGTCCTTTTCGGCACACTTATGTAAATAGTTTTTTTTCTGTTCCAGGACGACTTTATATCTCAGATATGTATATTGCAAGATAGTAGAGGTTTCTCTGAAAAAAAGAGTACAACTTTTTAAAAACTTATCTAGATAAATAAGATCGAAACTTAGAAACGCTTTGTACTCTCTCTAGCAGCTTCTCTTCGCGAGATGAAAAAGAGTTCCACTTTTTGAAACTGTAAATGAATTATTATTTACATATCTGTAGTTGTAGCTGTAGCTGTAAAATGAGCATTTTAAGTTTAATGAATATCGTTGTTATGAAAATACATGATGATATTATTTCACATACAAAACAGTGCTATCCTAAAAAAATATTGTTGTTTATTATTATTAAGCACAAAGCTACACAAAAGGCTATCAGTGCTCTGCCCACCACGGGTATCGAAACCCAGTTTCATAGCGTTGTAATTCCGCAGACATACCGCTTTGCCACTGGGGGGGGGGGTGCTAAAAATGAATTTTCATTTACAGCTAATTATTTTTTCTTCATTCTTACCACCACTGCTTTCCGAATTTATTTTCCTCGACATTTTTGCTCTAAGTTTACCTAGTTACCTGGCTGATGGTGACTGCTATATCACTTGGCTGACTACAACCCTTGGCCACCCCGAAATGACGCCCCTGGTTATTTGTAGATATACCACGTCTAACAGGTGAATTTACATTATCTTAGTTTATAATTTTACAAATGATTCAATTTGAATCACTGGAAAGGGGGCGAAGAAACAATTTGCAGATTCCACATAGTCTGCTCTTTGTTGGCATTTCCAGTTATTCAGCAAAACCTTACAAGTACAGTCTTAAGCGTGGGGATCGCAACGCAACCCCTGGAAACTTGCAAAGACCGCCGGACTCGAGGAATGCAAAATTATAATAATTAAGTATAAGAACACGGAGTTAGTATTCTTATAATATTTGAGAAAATTGATACAAAAAAGAAAATATAGACGCTGCTTCAGGTGCAGTGAAATGAAGAAAACCTGTACAAGTGAGATAGATCTAGTAAATAACTCTTTTATACTTTGTTTAGTATCATACGGGTTCCTGAGGGAGATTCATTTGAGAGAGTTAATTAACTTATTAAAGTTCAGTGATTTAGTTTTAAACAACATAGAGCATGTGTTAGGGCAGTCAGGTTAAATGGTTGATAGGGTTGTCAGGAAAGACGAACAATGTTTGTACCTTTGTTGACTGCCAGAATCCCTTCATGTATTTGAGGTTTTGTTCTCTTCTGGTCAAATATTAATAGAACAAAATACTTATTACATTTCTGGCAAGAAACAAGGAAATCTTGCTTTCGGTGATCAGTAATGGAACTGAAACGTTGAGAATGTTTTTGTTATTTATGTCGTGATTTATATATCAGAAATTTAGATCTTTTTAAGCTGCTGCGGACTTCACGTGCTGTTGTCAGTTTCGAAAGAAACCTGGAGACTCTTTTATTTCTATGAGTTACAATCACTGATAAGAAGAGACATCCTCCGAGTACAGCCTGATAAATAGGCTTAGTGGCGTGCGAGTCGCATGGTTTTATTTACCTCGATAGTACACCGAAACCATGATTTCCATGCATGGGTAACTGAGCTGCTAGCTGTTACAGATAAAATCTATTATTCTCTGAATCCACGGCTTGATATCTTTCAAGTCTCCTTAAAGAAATGTTCGCCATTTCCTGGTCACTAATTTAGGTAAAATACTTAATTTCCACGACCAAAGAAGCACGATTTTGCTTTTGAGCGAAATAAATATATACCAGTATCTTCTGATTCAAATGAACACATAAAAATATTTGTTTTCTACAAGCCTTTTGTTCTTTCTCGGTATTAGTTTTCCAGAGAGCCAAATATTTTCTATCATTCAGAACAAAAAGTGTCTTGTTCCTCAATATGCATGTTGTCCAAATACTACATTTTTGTAACATTGTCTTGTTCCTCAATATGCATGTTGTCCAAATACTACATTTTTGTAACATTGTCTTGTTCCTCAATATGCATGTTGTCCAAATACTAAATTTTTGAAACATTGTCTTGTTCCTCAATATGCATGTTGTCCAAATACTACATTTTTGTAACATCATGCCTTGTTCCTCAATATGGATGTGGTCCAAATACTACATTTTTGTAACATTGTCTTGTTCCTGAATATGGATGTGGTCCAAATACTAAATTTTTGTAACATTGTCTTGTTCCTCAATATGCATGTTGTCCAAATACTACATTTTTGTAATATCATGTCTTGTTCCTCAATATGGATGTGGTCCAAATACTACATTTTTGTGGTGTCATGTGCTGTTCTTCAATATGAACGTTGTCCGAAATATTACATTTATGTGACGTTATGTCTTGTTCGTCATGTTTGATCTTATCTGAAATAACACGTTATTATTGTTGTATTATACCCTGTTTTTTCGTATAACTAAAGGTGGGTCCCCTAGTGGGCCAGCGGTAAGTTTACGAACTTACAACGCTAAAACGCACGATTCCCCGTGGTAGACATAAAGCATATGGTCTATTATGTAGCTTTCTGATGAAACAAAAAAAACAAAACCTAAACTTAGTGATTGTCTGAAACTTTTTTTTTAATGCCGTGTTTTTATGTCTAACGTTAGATGTTGCCTGAACCACTTTATCTCCTCTTTTGTGTTATACGTTGTTTTTGATTCCCAAAATTAGCTGCCCTTTGAAACATTACTTATTTTTGTGTAAGATCTTCTTATTGTTGATCGTGATAAAGTTCTCCACATGCATTAAAATAAAAATGCAAAATTTTATCCAAATAAAATAACGTCACGTAGATAATTTTTTTTAAATCGTTAAGAATTATGTAAGTAGCGAAGGCAGTTCGTACGTATAGTGGTGAATAAAGTATTTATGTAAGGTGATAATAAAGCACTCGTGTTATTAAAGAAGTATCTACACGAAACGGAGAATGTTCATCTCCCATGAACCGTTGCTAACACTTCGTAGATTATATGTTTTGCCATAAGTTCTGTTCATAATAGTTGTAAGGCTATCTATCAGTCTGTCTGTTTTTTCTTTTACATTATGTCTTCATCGTTAACAACGTATATCTGGGGTTCTTTAGCATACAGCTTCACATACGTTGCTTCCAATCACGAAACTTCCATCAGTTCGTTACTTATCTACTAGACTTTCGGAGAGGTCGAGAGTACATCAACCTCTCCCGCGAGTCACGTGATCATCCCTATATTGTTATACCACTCAACACCAGGTTCTTCCAATCACCAAATAACAGTTATGTTTCTCATTAGTCTTCAACAGGAACAAGTTATCCTTTTATTTCTTCGGTTTATTTTGTATCTTATGTTGTTCGTGTTTTTTTTTAATATCGCTTTAATTTCAAAATAATGATCAGTTGTTACTTATGCACAAACCCGTATGTGAATTAAAAGCTTCGTTTAGAAACACTTCTGAACTTTTTCTCTTTATGCATTTTTACAAAAGTTTTTCATGATGCAAACATTTTTGAAGTGTTCGAACAGTACATATAACATTGTGACGCACGCATTTAGCCCTAGTATGCACTAAAAGATACGAAGCTAGGAAACTTTGTTTGTTGTTGTAATTGTTGGATTTTAAGAAAGATTTGCATGTAATGTATATAAATCGCTCTAGTAAAACACCTGTATAACTTCAGTAGGAATATGTCGATGAAATTGCGAAGAAATGTATAAGTCTCATGTTGTTTTTTTCTTTTATCGCAGTTATTCGAGGTACTATTAGTAGCCTTCGGAACGAAAACGCCCTCCTGCGGACAGAGCTGTCAGTTAAAGTAACCAAAGTGTTCCGGGATAGTGAAGGGTTTGTTGTTTTGAACTCACGTGGAGTGACAACTGAAACCGTCCTGTACCGTCCATTAAAATGTGGTACTAAAGCTGGAAGTGGAGAATTCGTCTTCATGGGCAGAATAATGCTGGGAAATCCCGTCTTGCACTGCGCACCAAGACTAGCAGAGTGGCATAAAGTAAGAAGAAAGGCTATGCTGGAAGGAACCAATCAGTGTCAACTAGATTGATTATGTAAATTATCCACGCGAGTGATCTAAGAAGACACGTGCACGTGCCATACGAGCTACAAAGGTGCCAACATAAAAATAGTGATAAATTGTATACCAGTATGTCACGTGGTGTCTTAAATAACAGTCGCATTATTTTTTTTTGTACAGGGATGTACATAATTTGTAGTGAGCGAAAGAGGATGTTCTGTAGTGGAAAAAAAGGATGTCGTTCTGTGTTAGCAGGATATTGGTTATTTTAAAATTGTCACGAAAAGAACTTTAAAAAAACACAAACCACATGATCAAAACTGTACTTCAGCCCATCTGTGTTGCGTAAAACACAAACCACGTGATCAAAACTGTCAGCCCATCTGTGTTGTGTGCTTGAATATGAAAATCTGTATATTTTCTGTGTTTGTAAACTTTCAAATACTAAACATAATATTGTGCTATCTCCAAGAGCTGCTGGAAATATATTTACATTATAAACTTGTATAGATTGTTGCCTAACGAGTTCAGTGCTACTAATAAGAACTAGTGTTTTTTTAGTAAGGCATGTAACATATACTAGGAAGCACCCAATTGTTGTAATTATTCTAATGTTACTTTGTGACCCGAGTTTTAGTTCACACAGTGATAATAATTCCTCTATAGTGACAGTAACCAATGTTTTTGATAACACACATATATATATCAGCCTTTCCACGAATCCTCGGTGTCTTCAACCGTTCTACAGATTAACATCGAGATTAATTTATTAATCAATCTATTAACATAAAACTAGAAGGTATAATTTTTATGCTACCTATTTTAATGATAAACGTAATTATATTGTAAACATAATGAAAAACATACAATAGTTAAAATATTACCAAACAATACGAAAGATTTAACTGAAGTTTTGTTATAATTTCTACATTTTTATTTACGAAACTATTTCTTGGAAAATCAACTATTTACCAGTCACTAGATCACCGAAAAGGAGTTACTCATAAACTCTTGAGTTTTTATTTGTTTTTTTTTATCTACAACAAATAGCACTGTAAATCTGACATGACTCCAATGCATGTAATATAAATAGTAAAAGGAATCTAGGAACGACTTTCAATGGATAAGAAAATGTTTACATGGCCCCTAATAAACAAATACAAGTAGGCTTAATTTAACGTTAAGCCTACTTTATACTCGGAGGGGAATTGCTGCGATTCTGGAGTTTATCCATTCGAAAGTCTTTCCAAGACCTACTATAATCAGAATACTTCTTGTACTTATTTACTGAAAATGTTCTTGCATTTATGATAGAATTATTTTTTTTGGTTTTATTACGATAACGAATTATTCACCTACGTACAACTTATTTGTTTTGTACATATAAAAAAAAACGTGTTTTACGACAAAATATCCTAATCAAAAGTGAAACTTAGAGAGCAATATCAAAAAATTAAAAAAAGCTATGATATGTACAGTTAAGGTTTATTTGAATATTTACCTATACATCACAGGCCATGCTGATACATCGCATTGAGAATAGTCATAAAAAAAAAGGGCAGCACATTTCATCCCTTCCGGATTTTATTGGTCCCTTATTATGGAACTTGTTCTCTCTCCCCCCCCCCCCCCACTTCACTATACTTTTATACGTATGGGAGTTTTATAAAGTTAAAGCCAAAAGGTGCCCTCTATTTTAAACTAGCTCTTATAAAGTAAACCTGTTGATTTATTTGCCTGACAGATGCTATATGCTTGCAGATATAATCGTTAAGTAAGCAACTTCTTGTTTCGGTAGTCTTTTTTTTTTTTGTACTATTGTGTTGAATAGACGGTTTTAAAACTTTCACCTATGTACTTTTAACTCCTGGTTTAAGTGGGTAATTAGCCATCATTATTTTAATCAACCTCCAAAAAAGTTCATATAATTACAACACTGATGTTATGAACTAGGCATAATAGGCGTGTGCTTTTAAGTTCAAATTACTAACTGTTTTTAAACTGAGAATTTCGATACATGAACAAAGAGATAAAAACACACAAACGAACGTCACTATTCCTCTTCGGGAGCGTTATTGAAATAACCAAATTATTTGTATCGTTCTTACAATTCTGGTAGATCCTATTATAACATTTATATCCTGTGACAATTTTTATTCAAACAGCGAATTAAACAAAATTTGTGAACCCACAGAACTAAATTGTTTGAAGTGTTTTCGAACTCGCCTATCATTTCAAATCTTGCTTGGTGCCTTCTCTTCGATTCCCAGTATACCAGCAAAAAGAACTTGAACACTGGATAAACAGATTTTGTTGTATATAGATATTTCACAAATTCTCCCTAATCAAATGGTATTTGATTGTCGCCTGTACCCGCATTTTAACACAACTATATTGTGTAAAGTATGTTTTTAAAAACGCCTGCATGGAAACGGATCTTAATACACTGTGATACCTCTATGAAGGTGTTAGCGTACCTGAGCTGTGAATCCAAGGGTGAATTCATGGTCTTTGGCCCCGTGCCCGGACTGTGAAGCTAAGAGTGAATTCATGGTTCTTGGCCCGCTGCCACAAAAACGCGCTCTATACTTTTGAGTCGTGGGTGCGTTATAAGAGAGACGGTGAAGTCTCACTATTTGGTCAGACAAAAGCAGCTGGGTGCTGTTGATCAGCTGCTTTCCCTCTAGTCTGTCAGTTTGAAACTAGGAACGGCAATGCGCAGATAGCTCGCCCTTGTGTAGCTCTGCGCGAAATTCTAAAAACGAACGAACAAACAATCAGTTTTCGTAAAACAAGAGATGTAACAATCTAAGCAAGAACGCCTCATACAAGTAAACTTCCTTCTTTTTTTTGTAATTCATAAGCTTGTAAGAGTACTTAAGTTGTTTTACATAAAACTGATATTAGTTCTTTACAGATGTGACTTTAATGTTGCATTCACCCAATCGCATACTTCAATAAAGTTGATTTTGTTGAATGTTAACCACTGTACTATCTGAGTTTTTTTTTTAGGATTTTTTTTCGTTGACTGTACTAACAGTTAATGTGGTTGAAGCTGTTTAATAAACAAGTTTTCATTATTTTCTTACAGTTAGTCTTGTCATTAAACGTCTGGTAAACGTGATCCAGTAATTAAATTGATGTTTTTGTTCTTAGGCTTAGCTTGGACGAAGCATTTGGGTTCGCCAATGGTTTTCTGTAGAATTGTAAATATGTTAAGTAAATTAAAGTGCCTGTTAGGTATACAACTTTTGTTTAATTTCTCTTCTTTTTTTTTCATATAAACATCAAAGTACAAATAAATACGAATAAGATTTTGTAAACACACAATTACAGTTCAAAAGATATTCGTAGAATACGCAGAGTGAAAAATGATCACCAGAGCATAAATAATTCACACATAATCCTATTCTTATGTAAACTAAAGAAAGAATCTTTAACAACGTTTGTGTGTAATTTCTATCATTCAAATTGTATAGTCTATAATTATGATCTGGACAATCACAAT